TGTCACTGGTAGCAAACCGACGGGACACCGCTTTATTTATTCTCACAATAAGTGTCCGTAGATGTTCTTTCTTCATCAACTGCGGATCCTGTCCCACAAACCTAGTCCAGTGCAGTTGCATTAGTATTGGATATATGGGTGTATAATTTGTTTTTCCTTCGATATTAGTGCAGCAATCATATGGATACCATTGACAGTTTCGTGTGTTCAGTTCAACTTCGTCATGTTGGCTCATTAGTCGTACGTTAACGCATAAAGGATAAGGTCTTAATGCCGGAGATGAGATTCGCTGTTCTTACTTGCAATCAGGCAGTCATCAACATACGCATACACGAAGTTGAGACCTCGAACAACGTCGTTGATGAACCTTTGGAAGGTCTGGGCAGCATTTCTTAAATTGAAATCCATGCGCAAAACTCGTACATCCCGAAACGCGTGATGATGGAGGCTTCAAGAATATCAACAGCAGTCATGAGAGTTTGGTTATGGTGTTTAACCAAGTCAATTTTCGATAAAAGAAATTGTACCTTTCAAGGTAGCTGTTGAATCGTGGATGTGAGGCAACGGGTAACAAGCAGGAATGGTTGTCGCATTCAATCGCCAAAAGTCACCATTTGGACATCAATCATTGCTGCCCTTTTTAGGGGCCATGTGCAAGGGAGATGCCATTGGGCTGCTTGATAGCCGAATGATTTCTAAATTTATCATGTGATGGAAATCGTTTTTAGCCAACCTCAGCCTTTCGGGAGCCTGTCGGTGCCGTTTCGAGAATACAGGTGATCCTGTAGTCGTGATGTGATGTGTAACATTGCTGGTTAAACATGACAATTTCAGTTGCGTTTGATATATCTCAGGGTACTTATCGAGTATATGTTGGTAGTATGGATCGATCGTGTGCCTTACTGTCTGGGGATAATCTACAACCGGAAAAATAAGTTACACAAACAGATAAATTAGTATTTCCGTCTACTAACCTCCATTTGCGCGTATCGATGAGTAAATTGTGGTGTTGTGGCGGGTCTATACCGATGATTTGCATAGGAACACCTACAACAATAACAATCCAGTGAATAGGTTTGTGTAAACCCACGTTAATATAGATGTACCGCTTACCATATGTAACGATCGGTTTCCCGTTTGCCGCCTGTAAGTTCAAAGCCGAATCATGCAGTCAGTCGCTAGAAGAGCGGTAACTTGTGCGCTAATATCGTTGAGGTAGTGTTGATACTCTATGATCTGAAGCGCGTTTTTGTACAGTTCGGCGGCGGAACTTTGCACCTGATCTTCAACAGTTTTACTCGACCCTATTTAGAGTATTGAAACATAGTGTTTCATCCCACACTCCAAAAGTATATGGATACATCGGAACGTGTCACGAAATCAGTTATGGGAATCAAATTCAAGGCTTATTTAGAGAACAACAAATCACTAAACCTTTGTTCATTAGCGTATAGGCCTCTTAAAGGCGACATTTTAATGACTTACAGCATTCTAAACACTTCTGGACATCCCCTTAAACACCTACTTAAGCTCAGTTTAATCACAAACCTTAGGGGCAACACCTAGAAACGGGAGACACAACATAGCAGAATAGACTGTTGGCACATTCACTCCTTAAGAATAGTCAGACGCTGTCAGTCGATGTAGTCCAAGAGACTTCCCAGTAGTCCTTCAAAAGAAAACTTGACATATTCTTGAAGACTAAGGACAGTATCTTGGACTAATTTATCAATGTATTTTTGCTTTTATTGCTAAATATACTTAAGTTCCTACCTGGTTGCGTTGGTGATCCACTGTTACTAGATACGGAAGCCCGTTTAGAAAACGCTTTTTCTATTCCGTTTAGAACCATTTGGACCAGGTGAACATTGGAAGCGGCGTTTTCAACTTCGCTGAGATCTTACTGTAAGTTCGGTGGTTCTTTTATATTCTCTTTCTAACATGTCAGAATATGGCAAAAAAGTCTTATGACGCACTGTTTAAAATTCTACTCATCGGAGATTCTGGTGTTGGCAAAACTTGCCTACTCGTTCGTTATGTAGAAGAGTCTTTTGTACCAACCTTCATTTCAACGATAGGAATCGATTTTAAGATCAAAACGATTGAGTTAGAAGGAAAGAAAATAAAGCTTCAGGTAAGCAGCATCTTAGGGATACCGATTGAATGAAGATATGGGATACTGCAGGCCAGGAACGCTTTCATACGATTACTTCCTCTTATTATCGTGGTGCTATGGGTATAATGTTGATATACGATATTACCAGTCGTCAAACGTTTGATAACATCCAGACCTGGATGAACAGAACCTTTTCTTTAGCATCAAATGAGGTTGAGAAGTTGCTGATTGCTAATAAGTGTGACATGGCGCATAACCGAGTTGTATCTTATGAAGAGGGTTGGCGAAAAGCAGAGGAATATGGGGTAAAAAGAATCCTTCGCTAATAATTTTCTATAGATTGGTTTTCTGGAAACAAGTGCAAAGTCATCGACAAATGTACACAAGGCCTTCGAGGATTTGACTCGCGCCATCCTCCATAACAGCTCTATACGTAGACATGAGTCATCTACGGTGACCCAGGTCCACCGGTTAGTCGAACCTCCAAATTCCATTTCTGGAACATGCTGTAGTACGGGATAGTCCTTTCAGTGATTATTTTCCTCACCGTTTTCCTTTCAATACTAACTTATAGTAATGCTTATAAATACAATGTTACGATTCATCATAAGATTCATATTTTCGGCCGCCAAAAGACATTCAGAGTTTTAGTTTCTGTCGTAATTTCGGTTTAATCTTTGTGTAGAGGTGCTTCTGTCATTCTTTGGATCTACGATTTTGCGTTCGGTTGTGATGATACACTTGTGCTAGTGTTGAGATTCCTTGTTATACCATACTAAATGTTTTTTCACTTCATATGAAACCTACAAAGCCAATTAGTCACCATTTACCTTTTAAATGTAAATATACTTGGATTCTTATATCTGACTTTTGTCTGCATAAAACCATTTATCCATGTCTGTCTGCTTCGAGTATATGATTAGTTATTTTGTTTCATTTTGTGTTTCTTGGAATTGTACTAAGATTGCTTTTATTTACTGACTTTCCCGTCCATCATTCCCTACCTTCATAATCCACGTGGTGTATATGTTGATTTTTGGGGGTTGTACAAGTAATATTAAAAGAATAATTAAAGCCAAGTACTTATGTAATCTCACAGTTTATCGTTTCTTTCACCTAGTTTAGCATGTCGGTTATATAGGGTTACTGATGTGTACATAATACTACAAAGTTTATGATTTTAGAACCATATCTAGTGCGAATACATATACTGGTCTTAATTTTTACATCACATCGTTACATCAGTACAAAACTGAAAAGGAAAAAATATGGAATTAAAAGTATTTGTGGTCCACACTTACCATTTACTTTAGTTACATTTGTATAAAGTTTAATGGCAAAATACTTACAGTATAACGATAAGGCGTCTTTTGACTCTGCTTCAATGACTATCCAGTTTATACCATAAAATTTGAATGTGTGGATTTGAGTTCCAATCCACCTCAGTGTTAAGGTTGCATGCGCAACATTTTACTGGTTGATGCGGTTCATAACCAGAGATAAAACGCGATAAACTTGGTTTCTTAGTGAATGTAATAAGCAAGTCTGTCTAAAATTAGTTTTAGTTTCGTCTACTATATTGGCACATAGCTCATTGGAGTCGCTTTTTTACATATTGAAAACGGTGGTTGACTGTGTTCCTTGAAAAATAATCTTTTGGTTTGAAAACATGGTCTTAGTGATTGTAGGTCCAAAAGTCGTCTATGAGACTTCTATTTGATCTTCCACTGTATGTTAAGATTTCTGTCTTACACGTTCACAGTAACCGGCTTTTTAGCATTCTTAGGAAAAGTACTCCTGAATGGGGAGATCATTACTCACTTGATCAGATCATTGAAACTTAATGTGTCCTACACATCCCAGACCAAGTGCTTCTAAAATAATTTGAATTTATAGTGAAATGATTGTATTATAACTTTATTCTATTATGTGTGTGTACTGATGCACTCCATATAAATGTGGAAGAGCTTTGTGCAGCCAACTTCAATGTCCTTTTCTGGAGGCCTTTGATAACGGTATCCTTACTATCAGGTAGTCTCTTTGTGCTAGTTAGTCTATATTTGCTGTATTAAACTTATAAGTCATAGTTTCCTGATCACCGTGAAGTGTGTGGAAAAAACTTTGACAAGGGACTGGCAGTTCAATCACCTTAACTTGTATTTTGGTTTTGAGCACTAAGCGAAGTTTCATCGAGCCAACATTCTCTTGATCTTGTTCTGGTTTTTAACATTGTTATTATCTATTCCGGTAATAATGAAGATTAATCATTTTGTGACTATTTGAAAGCTAATTGTCTTTAATAATTGAAATGATATTCTAGTTCTATCAAACAATATAGCTACAATTGTAATTTGTGTATCCATAACTTTTCTTTGATAGGAATCCTATCAAATCTCAGTCTTCTAAACTATGGGAAATAAAACTCGTCACTTCTTTCTCAATGTGTATACATCTATTATCGTTGCTTTGTTTGTTACACCCTTCTATATATTGTAGGATTTTACTAAACTAGTATTAACGGTGCTTTTGTTCAACCCCTAGACGTCAGTTTTTGTGTGCTCACAAATATTCGGATAAGTCGTTATCATGCTAAAACAATGGTAGAAATTACAAAGTTGTTCCGACCCAACTGTTGCTGAAGCAGTTTTCTCATTTTTATTGGTACTCATCAAGTAAAATAACTAAAAATAAATAAATAATCTAAATAAAATGGCTAATATAGTTACTATTTAGTCTACTAACTAGAATGCCTTAATATTAACTGGAAACTGGAGTAGTTTTACCACCCATAGAAAATTGCGAAGTCCCCCTCCTGGGACTTGTACCATTACAGCTCTGGTATTTCTTAATCGTTTTTTGTTGTTTGATCTCATAACTTAATGAAATGTGGAAACAGGGATTTCATTCCCAATCAGATGACTTATCACAAGAACACTTGATGGATAACCAAAGGAGTCGGATATTTTGCAGGTAAGTTGCTATTTATATTCTACCATTGTTATATGTATAACTGTTAACCTACATCTAGGCTTTTATGAAACGCTTTTCTTAAATGTCAGTGTAAAGGTTGGGTTCCTATCATAAAGTTACTGACCCCGTTTCCTACTGACTGATCTATGAAGTCCAACTCTTACGCTGATCAAATTATTGACTGAATAGTGGTTTACATATTAAAATACTCTGTTTCCAATAAGTAGATCTTAAATTCGGTTGCCACCTCACTTGTGGTGTAAGTACCCAGTTACTATTACTAGCTTTCATACTTGGAGTGTAGTTTGAGTGAATTACATGAACGTGTACTTATTGTATGAGTTAAACTAGCAAGATTTATTCTAGTCACAGTTTTGTGTCTAGTTGTTATGGAAATGGAATTCATATAATCACTTATATATGTTCACATTATTAAATGACAGTCACTATGTATTTAATTTTCTAACAAGTTAACTGGTTGGAGTGAAAAATGAATTTTTCAAACGTTCCGTTTAGTAAGTGATTGCTTAAAATTCATATTTCTTGTTGTATTGAAATCTTTCCGTAATACATAAACAAACATCTGTATCATTAATTCTTAGTACTCATAGTGTGGTACTTATTCATTTTTCTATTGACTTTTCATTTGTGATCTGCTTTAAAATCAACCACACACTTTTAAATTCTTTTGAGTATTAAAATGGTCACGATCGTTTGACACATTCAACACTTAAACATTTTGACTAATTATTATTAGTTTCTTGAAATTATTTTTAATGCGGTTATCAGTGATTAGAGATAGTTGAGTTATTCCAAAGCATGAGCTAAATAAAATATCTTGTTTTGTGTGTGGAATGTGTTTCCTTCTAACTAGGCGAAAATAAGAACGTCCGTCACGCATTCAAGATAACTTGGCGTAAATGTGTATTAGCTAAATTTGCCATGTAACAACATCGTGGCTGGTGAAAATTAAAAAGATACCGACCAAGGCAGTCGAAACGATAGTAGTTTATGATTGTGAAAATGACTGTGTAGTGAATATGGTTTGAAATGAAGGACTGTATTCACGAAACAAAAGGTATAAAGTAATATTCACACTCGAAATCTAGTGGATTCCAAAGCTTGGATGCATCTGTGCCACCACGATTGATTGTGTGCCATATCAGTTACAGTTTTCTAATTTTGATCCGGATCACCTCATGCATCCAGACCAAGTAGCTTGCACTCTCCTAGAATATTGATCAACAATGATTTCATAAACTGGTAGATGCAGACTGCCTGGTTGGGGTCCGCGTGACTATCGTAACCAATGGTTGGAGACTTGGTGACATGGCTCAGAATCGATCACACTGGCGTCGGTGTATGCACTCTCTGTCTTCCTTTAAACTAAGAGATTAAAATCACTTCAAATCTTTCTAGGAACTAATTCTATCTTCCTGTACTATCTCCTTATACACACTCTTTCTTCTATATGTTACCACCACTGAATTAACTACTATGAATCCGGTGTTCATCTTGTTGTGCTAATGCGGTATGGCAACTTGGACCGATGCATATACGTGCCTGGTCCTACGTTGCAGCTGACTGACTCATAAATTGATAAACCTTATTCGTTATCTAACCTACTTGTGTCTGCCAGCATTGCAATATGAAGTAAGTGTTGTTTAAACACACATAACATAGGTTTAACCATGTCAGTCAATTAAGATTCACAGCCTCGTTAACTGATTTCCAATCCATACCCTGTACTGTATGTCTAACCTCAGCCTTGCCCACTTGGTTATTTCGCCATACGGTGAAATGCTAATAAAATGCTCGTGTCCTACTACGTCCAGAGGCTATATTTCACAAACTGCCAATTACTCTTAGTCGACTGGAACCCCATTAACAGTCGGTTATGTGCTGTTAGATTAGAAAGTTCCTTCAAAGTGAGAAGAAATTGGCGTGAGAAACGATGTCTTTTCGTCATCTCCGCCTATGCCCCGACAGATTGCAGCCCGGATGCAATCAAGGACGAGTTCTACCATCAGCTAACTGTTCTTCTCCAGAAAGCGCGTTCGACAGATATTGTAGTACTAGCCGGAGACTTGAATGCTCAGGTCGGGCGTCTAGGCACAGAAGAGAGTCGTTTAGGTGGCCGATGGGGACTCGTTGGTCGCAGGACAGATAACGGGGAACGTCTACTGCAACTATGCACAGACCACAACCTGTTTCTGGCTAGCACTAACTTTCGGCACAGTTATCGCCGATGTGCCACCTGGCGTCCTCCTTCTGCATCTCAAGCCTGGACTCAGATTGATCACATCGCGATCAGCTACCGCTGGCGTGGTTGTGTACAAGACTGCCGCTCCTTTTGGAGTACCTATCTGGAATCTGATCATGCTCTGGTCTGCGCCAATCTTACCTTACTTTTCAGTGGACAACGAAGTGACCGCCACCAAAGGATTGATGTTAGCAAGCTGGCTGCAACTTCTGTTGCTAGTAAGTACCGAACCGAGCTAGCTTCTAGGCTAGCTACCATTCCACCGAAAAGTATAGATGAGCATTGGTTGCAATTGCATGACGCCATGAAAATGGCGGGTACAGTCTGTTGTGGGTTTGCGAAACGTCCCGCTTACAAGCACTGGGTTTCTTCTGGTTCCTTACAACTGATTGAAGCCCGTCGGTCTACTCCGGGTGACCGTGAGTTTGACCACAGACGAAGGATGTTACGTAATGAAATCGGGCAAAGCTTGCGTAAGGACCGAGAAGCCTGGTGGTCGGAGCGTGCCAGTGAGTTGGAAGCAGCAGCTGCATCTGGTAATTACCGGAAGCTCTTCCAACTCATCCGAGCCACTGGCAGCAAGAAGTTTGGTGTGAGCGAAACAATCTGCGAGGATGACGGAACGCCAATCACTAACATCCATCGACGTCTTGGACGATGGGCAGAATTCTTTGAAGGGCAGTTCAACTGGCCTGCTGCTCCGGCAACATCGGTCAGACTGTCCTGCCCTCCATGGCCGGTGACGACTGATCCACCAAATGAGGCGGAAGTCCGCAAGGAACTCCAACTCTTGAAACGTTACAAATCACCGGGCCCAAACGACTTACCTCCGGCTCTTTTTAAAGATGGTGGTGACTTTTTGACTAAGGGACTGACGACGTTGTTTACAAAGATCTGGGAACTAGAGAGTGTACCAACATCATGGAATGAGTCGATAGTTGTCCCTATCTTTAAAAAGGGTTCACGTTGTTCCTGTAACAACTATCGGGGGATAAGTCTACTTCCGATTGCGTCCAAGCTATTGGCTTCCGTCATACTTCGTAGGTTGTTCAGGACCCGAGAAGGATTGACTCGCGAGGAGCAGGCTGGGTTTCGTTCTGGTCGAGGATGTATTGATCATATCTTCACCCTCCGCCAAGTGTTAGAACACCGCCATACTTATCAAAGGCCAACAATCGTAGTGTTTCTTGATATCAGGGCTGCCTTCGATTCGTTGGACAGAACTGTTCTCTGGGATTGTCTATTGAAGAAGGGTGTGCCTGAGAAGTTTATTAACATCCTAAAAACCCTATACACAAACACCTCAGGCAGAGTGAGGGCATACAACCACCTTTCTCCATTGTTCCATTCAAGCAGTGGGGTTAGGCAGGGTTGCCCAATCTCACCATTCCTCTTCAACTTTGCCATCGATGACATTCTGGAAACAGCTCTGACGGATGTAAGTAATGGTGGAGTGGATCTGTTGCCTGGAGAAAGACTTCTCGACCTTGAGTATGCGGATGATATTGTCTTCCTGTGCGAGAATGCCCAAGCTATGCAATCCGCACTTAATCAGTTGGCAATCAATGTCCGTAGGTATGGTATGTGCTTTGCACCTTCGAAGTGCAAAGTACTTCTACAAGACTGGCAGGATTCTAATCCTGTACTCACTCTGGATGGTGAGCAGATTGAACTAGTCGAGAAGTTCGTGTATCTAGGTAGCTGCATAAGTGCTGGTGGTGGTGTGAGTGATGAGATCAATGCTCGTATAGTGAAAGCCAGAGCGGCTTATGCCAATCTGGGCCATCTTTGGCGCCTTCGTGATGTTAGTCTGGCTGTAAAAGGTCGGATCTACAACGCGACGGTGAGAGCAGTTTTGCTCTATGCTTGTGAAACCTGGCCTCTCCGAGCTGAGGATGTTAGACGACTCTCTGTGTTCGATCATCGTTGTCTCCGAAGGATTGCTGGCATCCAGTGGCAACACCATGTCAGTAATGCAGAGGTTCGGCATCGAGTGTTCGGTCACAGAGACGATAATTCCATTGGTGTCACCATCTTGAAACACCGACTTCGGTGGCTTGGACATGTTCTACGAATGTCGTCCCAGAGAATTCCACGTGGTGCATTATTTGCCGACTCTGGGACTGGTTGGAAAAAACGGAGAGGTGGTCAGTATATGACATGGTGTCGTGGTATGAAAGAAAGCTGCAAAGGGCTGGCTTCTGTTGGTCCTTCACGACTCCCTGGTTGGGGTCCGAGAGACGGTGTAACACAGTGTCTAGAGACGTTATCAGATATGGCTAAGAATAGAAGCCAGTGGCGATCGTGCTGTAACCTCTTACTTTCTTCATAAAAAGTGTTTATATCTTCCTTAACTGAAAGATCTCTTCTGATTGTACCTTTCCGTTCTCTCTCTCTCCCTTTTTTTTTTATAATTCCCCACGTTCATTACTTTTTTTTTTCTCTTTTCTCCTTCTCTTCAAATTATCATTGTTTTGTGTGGCGCATATATATTTGGTGCCCCTCTGTACCAATATTTATGTGTTCAAATAAATAAATAAATAAATAAATAAACTCTTAACCACCTTATATTTACAGACTAGTATTATGCTCACCAATTATGTTTCGTGTATATGCGTATGTATTAGGGGCAGGTATGAAAAAATCTTTATAGTAGCCAGCACTTATTAGTTTTAGTTCAACACATAGCTGAAGTCGGTGAAATTGCTATCCTAACATAAATTTAGCAAAGCACTTC